TTCAAAATATTATCTATACATATAATAAAAGTGTAACTAAGCCGAATCTGTACATTAAATATTTTTTGGAAAATCTTATTGAAATAAACATTATTAACGATACAGAGGCCGAATCTATAGTTTTTAGAATTTTTGTCTATCTGTCTGTTACCGCATCTACAGAAAAACCACTGGAGAGATTTTGATAAAATTTGGTATAGTGATAGCTGGTTATCCGGGTCAACATACCTATGGGATACTTTTTACCGCGGGAAAATATCTCATTTCTGAGAAAAAATACAAAAACTGCAATGTAAGAGTATACTAATATGTAAAACCTAAGAATTTGGATTTTGTTCTTGTGAACGCGGGCGGAGGCGCGGGCAATGCTAGTGTAGGTATATAAAAAGAGTTAATATGTAATATTTGGGTACACAAAAAGGGAAGATTTAATATTATCTATATAAAAAGTGAAAACAAAGTATTTTTATTCTAATATTTTTATATTGCGCATGTATTTTTCTCTCTCCTCCTCGTCAAATATCCAATAATCCCGTGGTATGGTAAAGTACCTACGCGAATTTGAATTGGCAAGTTCACCATACATATTCAGTTTTGAGGAAGCGACGCACTGCGCAAAACTTTTGGCACTCTCGCTTGCATACAAAAAATGAAAGTGGCTCGCGACGGATGAAATGGCGCATTGCTCTTGCCGATTTTTAACTTGACCTACATATTATGCAAATACCTTAACCTTACGAGTTCATATTGCTTCTCTCCGCTCATGTTATGTGAGTCAAGAATATTTTAATGCATATACATATTAAGAGAGTTTCCTTCTATCATCCTGGAATTTTCTTAGGAAATCTGCATCTTTAGCTAAAAAATGAAACATTTGATAGGTTTTATTCAACTATCTTACCTAACCAACAAATTTTAGTACTATAGCATTCTAGTGCTTAACACGTAAGGCTGGAGATGCGAAGGTCTAGGTACCACTTCCGGATTAGGTCAATTTTAGTTATCGAGTCTTTCTGTTAAAAAAGTTACAGTTACAACCCAGAATTAGGAAGTTGGCAGTGTTTCGTTAGTCGGTTTAAGTTATCGATTATATATACTTATATATACTTATTAAGCAGCTATAATGCTTAATGTCCTATATAAGCTGGAAAATATGTAAGAGACAACGCATTGCCTAAACAGGTAAGTAAAAAGATTCAAAATATCTGACAAATTATTTCTTCGCACCCCAGGTGTACTGAGGAATTTCTTACATTCATGAAATGGGTTAAAAGAATGATATATGAACAAAAACGTTTTCTATTAATGATAATGGTATTATCTTCTGGGTAAATAAAGCCTTTAAATGAAGTAAGATAACACATGCTTAATTCTTTTTTTTATATGTAGGTATCTCCTAGGAATGAGAAAATTGAAAACAAAGTTCGTAAAGAAAACAACTTATTATGGTTTGGGTTAGATATTTTTTTTTAATTTAAAACTTTAAACGAAAAGAAATGAAGGGTCAAATAAGACATACGAAGTGTCCATTCCTCCAAACTTGTTGGATAATATATATATATATATATATATATATATATATATATATATATATATATATGTCGTGTTATCCATATATTACGAACATCATCTGTGGTGGTTACTCATCTTGGGGGCATTATCAGGGCTCAAATAATAAATTATTCAATGCTCAATACACAATTTAATCAAGGAAATCACAATGTTTTAAACTTGAAACGGTAGCTAGCGGGTTCACAGTCACCAATCATCGACTTCCAACTATAATATCAAAGCAAAACTCTCTATGATCCACCATGATCAACCAACTTTACTAAACCACGTATCTGCAAAGAATATCGTGATGGCGTCTCGACCCCGCTCGAGACTAAATCTCTGCTCTAAATTTAAAATCACTTTAAAAGCAATCATCGTCATATATATATATATATGACGGTGGAGGATTTAGTTACCTTTTTCTGTTGTGAAACCTTATTGTTTAAAGTCACTATGTTCTTTAATTTACTTTTTAAATATATATATATATATATACGTAGTATATACGTATGCTTGTTTTTGATACTTGCGTTTCTCTTAAGAATAATTCTAAAGAATACGGATCTAACAGAGTAAGAGTAAAAAATGATTATAAAAACTGAGTAGGTGTTAAGGTTGAAAACTTAAATTTTTAATAACATAAGTAATTAACTAGAAACACATGCGAAGCAGCAGTCAACGACTATATTAAATAACACGAATTCAGATAGCACAAAACCAAATTATTTAGCAAGAAAACAAATATAATATACTTGACATAGTAATAATTTCTAATTAATCCATGCCTAAGATATCTTATAATAATACTATTAAATGCTAATATCCGCTAACTCATAAGTATTTACTCCCAAACATGTAGGGCACGTCTGTCTTCACAAAGTTTACAACTCGAAATGATCTGACAATCACACTTATGGAGCTGAGACATACAACAATTTGTATAGAACGCTTCTATTTTTGAGGGGTTAATGAAATTATCCTAACATAACCTACTTTTGGTATCTGTCATGAGCAGCACTTTAAAACGTTAATATCAAATAAAAATAAGTACTGAATTATTAGCTGATTCATAATAATAATAATATTAAGTAGCTATATTATATTTAAACAACACGATAAATGCATTATCTATAGATACTTGTATTATAAAATTCTAACTGAGCCGAATCTGTACATGAAATATTTTTTGGAAAATCTTATTAAATTGACATTACAATCGATACAGAGACCGAATCTATAGTTTGTAAATTTTTGTCTATCTGTCTGTCTGTCTGTTACCGCATCAAGGAAAAAGCACTGGAGGGATTTTGATGAAATTTGGTATGATTACAGCTGGTTTTGCGGGTCAACATATAGGATACTTCTTATTGCGGGAAAAAATCTCATTTCTGAGAAATCTATACTAAACTTTTAAACTATTGAACTAGGGTGAGTCACTAGTATAGCAAAAAGTCTTCTCAATAAAGGTTACAAATAATTTTGTCCTTTTTATTGCATCATTGCTCGAAACGGACACTTAGTGGACACGAGAGGAATCAGGCTAGAACCTTTGGAACTTACCTAAACTAGGTTAACAACCAGTGTTATAGTTTTACCATGCATTTCTCACTGTTACAAAGATTTAGAACAAAACAAACTGTGAAACTTACATAAATATATAAACGCAGCCTTAAATGTAAAACGACAAGTATACAACTTATATAACTAACTAGACTTACATCTACGTATATGTATAAAAATTTTAATTAATGTCATTTTGATATTTCTAGCAAATTTTCTGTGTCCATGTAGTTCAAATTTTGAAGAAAAATTCTGATATTATAAGTTTTATAACTATATAAATCCAAAACTCTATTGAGTTTGTTGTACAAAAAGCTCCTAAAAATATAAAAACCTATTAACAAAGGCTTGTTTGGTTCGTCGCTTAGTACAAACCGAATCTTTTCTTTTTTTGTCTGAAAGAAGTGGGTAAAAATGGAGTTCAGTACGCTGTTTTAATGAGACGTGCAGTATAAATAATCGCCGAACCGTTAGTACCTTGTATTCCTAGTAAAGCCTGTTTGTGGGAAAGGAATAAGGGTGATAGGTGGCTACTTTTAGGATTCCCTTTGAGCACGTTCAAGTGGTAGTAAAATAGTTTTCGCAACATTACCCCAGGCAGTTAAACAATAGGGAAGAATGCATTCACACAAAGTTCGATAAACTTGTTTGATGAATGTATACTCTGCAATATTGCGTAAAAACTAAAAATATATATTAATTTACTGACTCTATTGCATAATAATTCAATATGATATCGAAAATTCAGATTTGAGTCAAGGGTAATACCTAGATATTTAATATACTCTGATTTGGTTAATGTAGGACAAGTGCATGCAGTGTCAGCAGACGTTGCACAATCCTGTGCGTATATTAAAACGTTTCGCATAAAAAAATATCAGAGGTGCGAGACCCGGTTTTTGGAATCGCATCACTCGATTTTCCAAGTAAGCTCGCTACCACTGGGCTATCATTGCTTACATTTACAGGTTACAGATGCAAATTATATTAATATTAAATAACTCTCTCATATTACTCTCACAGTCTAAGTTAAAAAGCTAGTTTATAATATACTTAATATTATAAACTAGTTTTGATCGTAAATCATATCATCGTATATACATAGTACCAGTGTGATCATGGGCACCGGGAGGAGGGTGCAAGGGGGTGCACTTGCAGACCCACACCATGAAGGAAAATACATATATAGAAAAAGTTAAAGAAATAAAATTGTATTAGTAAAATCCCTGAATTGCTAGAATTCTATATAACTAATCGGATATATATATATATATATATATATATATATATAACTAATCGGATCGAAGTAAAATTTCTGACTTGCTAGACTTCTATATAACTAAAAATATAGGTCGAAACTACATGACTACTGAAACCTGTACGGATCTATCATCTGATCATACGCCAGTCATATAAAATGAAAACTCATCAGTGGTTGTTACGGACGACGAGCAACGAGTGACGACGGGCCCGACGAACCACGACCGCCCCCGACGGCGATAGTAGCATATGTCCGTCTCTCTCTAACAAATCTATGTGCACGCGAAGTATCATGTACGCGCAACAGATGCCCCCCCCCCCTTGCATTGTATAAAGCAACCAATCAGAATTAAGGAAATTATCTTATCTCGTTTAGTAGTATGCCTATTGCCAATGTTAATGCTAGAATAAGTATTAGGGCATTTTGTATGTAGATTCAGTTCAGAATTAAGTATTCAGTTGACTACCGTTGAATAAAGTGTTCTCTTCAGTTCAAATATTGTAAAGGAAAATAAAAGCAAGTTATACTCAAGAAGTGTTTTATTACATCGAAGGAAGAAAAATAAATACAGTCCACTACAAGCTGGCCCTCCGACCCGGATAGAAGATCAATCCAGTATTGAAGAATGGTCATCACCAGGAGCCAAGGAGACGCTGCCGAGATGGACGCCCAGCGCCGCCCAGAGGAGCCGCACCGCTCAGAGGAGCCGCGCCGCCCTGGCACCCCCCGCCGCCTAGATCAGCGTCGTCCAGACCTGCGCCGCCCAGAGGACCTGCGCCGCCCAGAGGATCTGCGTCGCCCAGAGGATCTGCGCCGCCCAGGGGAACAGCAACGCTTGGAAGATCAGCAGCACATGGAAGAACAGCAACACCTGGAAGGTCAACCCCGTGTGGAAGATTGGAGCCAGGGAGCTGAACAAATTGAACTGGAGCGAAGACGAAGACTGTCTCTGAATCCACCAGCATCACCAACCACGCCCCTGGATACGGAGGTTGGGCTAGGGGCTACGAACGACGCCTCTGCTCCCACAACCTCTGCTGCCTACAGACCCTTGAAGACTGGAGACCGACCCCGAACCAGGTCACCAGGGCATTCAGTGCGATCGACGGCAAGCGTGGCTGCTAGAGTACGGCTGGCAGAACTTGAAGCTGCAGAGAAGCTTGCAGCCCTGAGGAAGAAGGAATTGGAGATCGAAGCTGAACTCGTCAGAAAGCGACTGGCTGCAGACACCACCAATATCCAAGAGGAGTAGGAGAGCCTGCATGAAGAGAACCTCGACCACCAACAGAAGGTGGACACATGGCTCCGCACCAACCCCGTCAGTGCACGGGGGGAGTAGGAGGAGCAGAGAAGGAGGGGAGGGGAACAACACCTCCGGTTCAACGTTAGAGGAAGATCACCCACTCCGACCAGAAGGAAACCAGGGATTGAGCATTTGGCTGAAGCTCTGGAGAAGATGGCTAGACCCAGGATAAGATGCGCTGACCTACCGATCTTTTCTGGAATAGCCAACGAGTGGCTGTCATTCAGAGCAGCCTATCAAGACTCTACGAGGATATACCAGATATCAGCGAACGAGAACCTGCAGAGACTGAGGAGCTGCCTGCGGGGAGAAGCAAGAAACGTCGTAGCCGGCCTGTTACATGCCGCTACAGATCCTGACGTCGTGATGAAGACCCTCGAACAGTGCTTCGGAAGGCCTGAGGTCATCATAGATCAAGCCTTCCTGGAATTAAAGAAGCTTCCGAGACCCGGATCATCAGCAGTAGACCTGAACAGTTTTGCAGTGAAGGTTCAAAGCGTAGTCAGCATCCTGAACAGCATCGGACGCCAGGGCTACCTCTACAACCCAATGCTTGCGAGAGAGGTCTTGGACAAACTGAGTCCACACATCAGAGCACGCTGGTGTGACTACTCCGAGGAACATGAAGTTACACTACAACCAGAGATTGTAGTGCTGTCTCGCTTTCTCATGCGCGAGGCAGACCGGGCATTGAAGCATGCATATGCCCCACCTATGAGCGTCTCAACACCTGCTGCAACCCGGAGGGAGACCAGACCCTCTACGAACACCGGGAACCAGAGGAAGAAGATGAGCGCCGTGTATAACGTGACTGAAGCTGAAGAGGAACAAGTCAGCCAATGTCCTAGCTGTGAGCAGACTCACGCACTGCCACAGTGCCCCAAGTACAAAGGGCTCTCGCTAGATGAACGATGGGAACTGGTGAAGGAAAAGAAGTTATGCTTCAAGTGCATAACTAAGAAGCACAGACGCAGCAATTGTAAAGCGAAGCTATGCGGTGTGAACGAGTGTCGCAGTCCACACCATCCGACCCTGCACCGAGAGGAGAAGACACCCAAACCCTTGATAAGTGAAACCGAGGCCGTGCTGTCGGTGGCAACCAAAGCCACTGTGTCAACTCAAGCGGTTCTTCTGAAGATGTGCCCAGTCACCGTCGTCGGGCCACGGGGGGAGGAGAAGACCTATGCTCTACTGGACGAAGGGGCTACCATCACCCTCATCGACGAAGAGCTGGCAAAGAAAATCGGCGCCAAGGGACCTCTCACACCACTTCACATGCACGGGGTCAACATGACTCAGCACGAGGAAGATAGTCGGCTGGTTACGGTGCACCTGGAGGGGAAGGATGGAAAGAGACACAAGCTTCGAGCACGAACGATCAAGAACATGAAGCTTCACCAGCAGTCCATTCCCAGCGCGTTACTGAAGCAAGAACACCTACGAGATCTGCCAAGAGAGGAAGTGTGCTACGACCAGGCACACCCTGGCATCCTGGTGGGGACAGACCACTGGGAGTATATTGTCTCCCGGGAACTACGAGTTGGAGGCCCGAATCAACCAGCCGCCTCTAGAACACAACTCGGCTGGGTGGTACACGGAACAGCACCACGCAGCGTAATCCATAACCAGGATGGCGTTCTTCATGTCTTCACTGTCGAACCTGGTGGAAGCTTGAAGGAGCAGCAAGACCAACGCCTTCATGACCTGGTGGAGGAACACTTCCGGATCGACGCGCTCGGCATCGCTCACAAGTCACGGGTGAGCGAGGTGAACTCCCGGGCAACAAAGATCGTCGAGCAAACCTTAAAGAAGGTCGAAGGTGGATACCAGGTGGGATTGCCCTGGAAACAAGACGACATTAAGATGCCGCCTAGTTTCGACGCAGCACTTCGCCGTCTTACGAAGATAGAACAGAAGATGGATGCCGCACCTGCATTCGCCAAAGAATACACCAAACAGATAGAAAACCTGCTTGCAAAAGGATACGCTGTGCCATGCAACGGCACGGAGCGTTCGAGCCCAGTCTGTTGGTACCTACCACACTTCGCCGTGCAGAATCCAAACAAGCCGGGGAGACAAAGATTGGTATTTGATGCAGCAGCCAAGAGCCGAGGGGTCAGCCTCAACGACTACCTACTGGAGGGACCTGATCTACTGACGTCGCTTCAAGGCATCCTGTTCAGATTCAGGGAGCGACCAGTAGCCATCACTGCTGACATACAGGAGATGTTTCTCCAAGTGAAGATAAGACCGGAGGATCAACCAGCACAACAGTTCCTGTGGAGGGGCGCCGACCGAGACAATCCACCTCGCCACTACAAAATGACGAGCATGATTTTTGGCGCAGCGAGTTCACCCTTCATGGCCCACTACGTGCGAAAACACAATGCACAGGAGCACGCGCAGACGCATCCTCGTGCCTTGGAAGCCATCACGAGGAGTCACTACATGGACGATTTGGTGGCGAGCTACGACACCACGGAAGAAGCTCGACGCGCCATCCAGGAAACCAGGGAGGTGCACGCAGCGGCTGGATTCACCCTACGTGGATGGAACGCCAACGCAAAAGAAGTGATTGGCGACGTGCCCACGCAGCTGCGGGCGACATCACCGACGCGACTAGGAGGAGACGGGCCCGAGAACAAGATACTTGGCCTGTACTGGGACGCCGAACGGGACGAGCTGGGGTTCAATACCTCAATGAACCGAGTTCCTGCGGAAGTACGCGCCCAGACCCGTCCGCCTACCAAGCGAGAGGCGCTCAGCGCGGTCATGTCTTTGTATGACCCCTTGGGACTGCTCAGCCACTATACAATAAGAGCAAAAATCATCCTGCAGAGTCTCTGGCGCATGAAGATGGAGTGGGATGAACCAATTCCTGCAGAAGAAAACGAAATGTTTGAAGCGTGGCTGCGGCAGTTACCCGACCTCACCTGTCTGCGACTGGAACGCTGCTACGCCCTGGAGGGCTACCAGGGCCTGGAGCTACATATATTTTGTGACGCCAGCGAGCAAGCCTACTCAGCCGTGGCTTATTGGCGTGTCACACGACCCAATGGAGCAATTGCCGTAAGCCTCGTGACCGCCAAGGCGAAGGTGGCTCCAAGGCGCACACAAACGATACCTCGCCTGGAGCTACAAGCAGCGGTCATCGGCGCCAGACTGGCGGAAACTATAAAGAAAGAGCATCGTGTGGAGGTCCAGAGGACAATGTACTGGACCGGCTCCACAACTGTCATTCACTGGATACGGCACGACGCGCGGAGGTACACACCGTTCGTCGCGCACCGGCTCGGAGAGTTGGCCGAGCTGACACAACCAGAAGATTGGCGATGGGTCCCAACCAGTGATAATGTAGCTGACGACGCTACACGATTTGCGCACACTCGCATCACCAGTGACGACCGATGGTTCCGGGGACCAGAATTCCTACGTCAGCCAGAGGAACTATGGCCGGTCGATGAACGATCGACAGAAGAGGAGGAGGTCCTACTGCACGTGACCACAGAGGACCAGCAGGGCGACGAGTGGTTGCCGGATCCTGCGCGCTTCTCCAAGTTCGAGACACTGGTCAGAGCAGCCGCGAGGGTGTTAGTGTTCGTGGACAAGTGTCGGCGTCGAGCTACGGGACTGGAGCATCGACACATCGAAAAGGCCGAGCGCGCACTCATACGCCGCGCTCAAAAAGACAGCTTCCGAGAAGAGCTGCTACGGATGAAGGCATCACATCCACTTCCCAAGGCGAGCCGACTGTTCCGGCTGGATCCAGTGCTAGAGGAGGGAATATTGCGGGTGCGAGGCCGTATAGGAGCCGCCACTGCACCGCTCGAAGTGAAGCGACCCATCATCCTCGACGGACGCCACCGCATTACTAAGCTCATAGTGCTACGAGAGCATTGCGCTGCGGGTCACGCTAACCGTGAGCGTGTGACCAACGATCTGAGGCAGCGGTATTGGATTATACACCTACGACCTACTGTGCGCACCATAGAAAGGGAGTGCGCCCTCTGCAGAGTAAGAAGAGCGAAGCCCCAGGTCCCGTCGATGGGAGACCTGCCCCGCGCTCGCCTCGAACCATTTCGCCGCCCTTTCACTCACTGTGGGGTGGATTACTTCGGACCTATGATGGTGAAGATAGGACGACGTCGAGAGAAGAGATGGGGTGCGTTGTTTACGTGCCTCACGTCACGCGCCGTACACCTAGAGATCGTTTCGTCATTATCTACGAGTTCGGCGATCATGGCATTGCGAAGAATGGCAGCAAGAAGAGGATGGCCGAGCACTATGTACTCTGACAACGCCACGAACTTCCGAGGCGCCGACAACGAGCTACGGGCCGCCTACGCCGAGTGGGCGCCAGCACTGAAAGAAGAGGGCCTACTTCATCGTATGGAGTGGCGCTACATACCTCCAGGTGCCCCGAACCAAGGGGGCGCATGGGAACGACTGGTGCGGTCAGTGAAAGTCGCACTAGCCTCCACCTTAAAGGAAAAGGAGCCGACGGAGGAAGTACTATGGACTCTGCTGGTCGAAGTGGAGTACTCTATCAACGCCCGACCCCTGACTCACGTAAGCGTGAGTCCAGACGACCCGGAGGCACTGACACCCAACCACTTCTTGTTGGGGTCATCTGCTGGCCTACCCATCACTGGGCCATGCACCGACGACGATCGACGCACCTGGCGGGCCAGCCAGGCGCTCGCCGACCACTTCTGGCAGCGATGGGTGCGAGAGTACCTACCAACTCTCGTTCTTCGCGGCGAGCCGACAAACAACACCAAGCAGCTACAGCAAGGAGACGTCGTGGTCATAGTCGACCACATCCTGCCACGCAACGTGTGGCCTATGGGAATCGTAAAGCAAATCTACAGGGGACCTGATGGCGGCGTGCGAGTAGCGGATATCCAGACGAAGACCGGAGTCTTCAAGCGTCCCGTCACGAAGCTCGTCGTGCTCGTGAAGGAGGAGGCTCGCAGCGCTGCGCCGGGGGGAGAACTGTTACGGACGACGAGCAACGAGTGACGACGGGCCCGACGAACCACGACCGCCCCCGACGGCGATAGTAGCATATGTCCGTCTCTCTCTAACAAATCTATGTGCACGCGAAGTATCATGTACGCGCAACAGATGCCCCCCCCCCCCTTGCATTGTATAAAGCAACCAATCAGAATTAAGGAAATTATCTTATCTCGTTTAGTAGTATGCCTATTGCCAATGTTAATGCTAGAATAAGTATTAGGGCATTTTGTATGTAGATTCAGTTCAGCGTTCAGTATTCAGTTGACTACCGTTGAATAAAGTGTTCTCTTCAGTTCAAATATTGTAAAGGAAAATAAAAGCAAGTTATACTCAAGAAGTGTTTTATTACATCGAAGGAAGAAAAATAAATACAGTCCACTACAATGGTATTAGTGCAACCCGCAGAAAGACTCTATAACAAAAATACTAACTGGGAGATGTATAAGGGCATAATCACGAAGGGAATTGAGCTCATAAATCCATTAAAAACAGTGGAAGATATAGAAGAAGCTATTGAGAACCTTAATAAAATCCTACATGAAGCAGCCACTAGTTCCACAAAAGTGAAAGAAAAATTACCCCTAAACAACAAATATCCGAAAATGATCAAAGACAAAATATTGGAATGTCGTCATCAAAGCATGGCACGAAACTAGACACACGAGATAGAAAACTCACTCGAGGGATTTTGATGAAATTTGGTATGGTATGTAAAATATATAAAACCTGAGAATTTGGTTTTTTGGTCTTCTCTGAAAGCTTCTCTGAAATCTTATCTAAAAGCGGGCGGAGCCGCGGGCAATGCTAGTTTTCCTTTAAAATTCTTATTCTGCGGAGACTTTCTTTAAACGCAATAATATAAAGTGCTGAAGTTTTCACATACAGCAATTGTTGTTGAATTTTTGTACAACTTTCTAACCACTTTATTGCTAAAACTCTTTATTTCCCAGCGCAAAATGCATGTATTATAGTGGCTGGTTTGGCTTTTAAATAATAACTAGAGTTCGCCGAGTGGTCGAATTTCGACCATGATTATTATTGGTTTTTTTTAATTTTATTGTTTTTTTATTTTAAATTATAAAACTAAAGCTCGTCAATAGCTATTAAACTATACATAATTCTCAATTTGACCACAGACTTTAACAATAAACAAAGGAGTATATATGCGTGTGTGTGTCAAATAAATGGTAGTGTGTGTAATGGTTTTTTTATTGACTTATGTATTTTTTATGCATAATTTTGAAAAAATATTAGCATTCTGCACTCCTTCTCTATATAAACTATAAGTGTGGGAAATTTCATACTCCTCCGTCAGCGACATTTTCGTAAAAAGGAGTACAAAGTTTTTGCTTCACGTATTAATATATAGATTATGCTAACAATTAATTTAATCGAATCGTAATTACAATTAAATAAATCGGATAGTTAGTAATAAAGACATTTTTAATTCTTTGCTAACTACTCATATTTTTAATAAGTGCAAAAATTTTAGCTTTCATCATGCTCTCAATAGGCAATATAAACAAAATTATTTGTTTAGGTTTGCGCTGTTTTTTTAACTTTATATTTTAAAGTAAATATATTATAATAATAATCTATTTTAAATTATATATGGGCTTGCAAGTCCGTGAGGTAAAACTACAGATCTGTTTTAGTTGTTAGAATATATTAGTTTGATTGTTACATAATGTTCAAATCTCTTGACGGCAAATATCGCTATTATATTGATAGCGTATGTAGCCCACAAAATTACCACAGTGAATGTTATACGCATTTGAGGTTAGGTTGTGATTTTGTACGTCGTGCTAGTATCGATTTTGAAAACCAAATCTATTCATGTTGACAATACTAGGGGGATCAAAAATAATACTTCATTTTAACTAATAAATGTATTATTTTCTTTAGTAGCACTTAATGTGCCCGAAAAATAAAAATATACAAGAATAGCACTTAATCGAATAATCACACGCCAAAATGCCTTACATAATTTTCGAAAAGAGCTGATACTCTTACACTGCTGGACCAATATTAACTAAACGTAGCTAAAAATCACCGCAAGGAAACTGGCTTTCAAATGAAAAAAACCGCATCGAAATCGGTCCATCCGTTTAAGAGCTACGATGCCACAGACAGACACACACACAGACAGGGAGACATCGACGTCAACCTTTTAACACCGCTCTTTTTGCGTCGGGAGTTAAAAAGAAATGAATCAACAAAGTATAACACAATATACACAACTTTTCCAATTTAATCTACACAAAAATAATATTAGTTATTTGTTATTTATTTAAATTGCGAACGTTCATCTTGCAATGAAAATGTAAAGAAGTAATGTAAATATGCTGGTGAAATTTAATTTAGGGTTTTTATTTAAATACTAACGCTAGCGCTAATTCACTCGCGCCAAGTTTGATTTGGTTGTTAAGTGTAATATTTTTTTTACGTTAGCAACATCCCGTAAAACCTTCGAAACGACAGCTATGTTGATTTTTATTACTATCTACCTCTTTTCACCCTTGAAGGGGTTGTTTTTGAAAAAGCTCGAATTAACACGTGTTTATCTATCTGTTGACATGAGTAATCATGTGAATTCTCGAATTAATACATCTCTCTTATTTCTCCTTACAAATTTCGAACCCCAGTTTTACTCCTTTAGGGGTTAAATTATATACCTACGTCATAATCTATGTACCAAAATAAAAATAAAACTATCGGTGTGCCAAATTTTAACCCAATCCGTTCAGTGGTTTAAGATAGGCGTTGAGAGATCAGTCAGTCGGTTAAAATAAAAAAAAATTAACTTACCACGTTGACCACATTAAATTTTAATTATCTAAGGATTCTGCTATTGCTTTCTAGCTATGAAACCGTAAAAAAAAATTATTGTCAAAAACACCCTTTCAGTAATTTAAGCTAGGTAAGTTTATTTTATTTTAATTGGCCGACATCAAAAAGGAGGTGGCTCGATTAGTTTACAATTTTGTCAAGAAAATAGCATATTTTTAGTTGAGTAAGTAATTTTTTTCGTAAGTATTTTTAGAAGCCGCAGTCGACCGCCCCTTTATTGACCTAGACAGTTTTAGACAGTTGGATCACTTTAGTGTGAATTTAAAATTATACTTAAATTTGATATTACGTTTTTATTATCATTTTACACAATTACTACTTTTTTCACTATTTTAAAGTATTTTATACAGTTTAAGTTAGTTAAAATTAAAACAAACTTTTAACTACACCATATTGGCTAAGTTAAAAGTCTGAGTGAGAATACTCTCAACGAAAATGTATAAAGATAATGATGACAATGAAAGTAGCAAATCTCTTTTGCTTCTTTAATATGTATTTAACTAAGTTTTTAACGCGTCTATGCACTGTATATACTCTACATATAATAAAATTGTAACTAAGTCGAATCTGTACATTAAATTTTTTTTGGAAAATCTAATCGAATTGGACATTATTATCGACACAGAGTCCGTATCTATAGTTTTTAGAAATTTTGTCTGTCTGTTACTGCATCACGAGAAAACCACTAGACAGATTTTGATGAAATTTGGTATGATGATAGACGGTTATCCGGGTCAACATATAGGATACTTTTTACCGCGAGAAAATATCTCATTTCTGAGAAAAAATACAAAAACTGCATTGTAAGAGTATACTAATTTGTAAAACTTAAGAATTTGGTTTTTGGTCATCTGAACGCGGGCGGAGCCGCGGGCAATGCTAATCTCTAAGGTAAACTCTATAAGGTACACATCGACTTTATGTATAGATGTTTTAGTTCTGTAACTATTGCTCCAGATCCGAGAGTCGAACCAGGAACCAGGGCTGCAGGATTCATAGCCCCGTTCTATATTATGCTCTTAATATGAATTAGTCATAAATATTTTAATCTATAATAACGTATCCTTCTTTATTTAAGATAAATATACTTTATACTTTTGCATAAAAATAAAGTATGCGAAAATACTTTATTTCGAATCTTTGATGGGCAAAACAAGACACTACCATAGGTGCTTAATACTTAAATGATTTATCGAACTTATCGATACCTAAGGTAAAAAAGAGCAGAGTACATGACGACACGTGACCCTACTTGCTGTGCCAGCGGTCGCGGGTTCGAGTCCCGCTGGGGGCATTCATTTGTGTGATGAACACGAATGTTTGTACTCCAGTCATGGGTGTTTATATTTATAATGTGTATGTATTTAAAGTTATATATATATATATATATATATATATATATATGTAGTGTATCAACCATCTGGTATCCATATATATAGCTTTGTGCTTACCATGGTACTAGATGGTGCTATGTGTTAATTTCCTAACATATTTATTTGTACATGGGTACATACGATTAAAATGATTATTTGTTGCTAATCGAAACGTAAATGTCAGATATGACATTGACAGACGACATCTACATATTAGCGATAATTTGTCTTTATCGGTTTTTCAGCTTTCACTGAAAGAGTTTTTTCGGCGAGAAGAGAGAAATGGATCGTGCATTTTAATATTAAAATGTTACATTCAATTTTCTTGTTAATGGCTTTTAAAAATAAATATTCATTTTTATAACGACAAATGTGAAAAACATATTTTATAAAATATTGACTTCATAAAAATAATCAATTTTTTTTTTATTATTTCATACTTACATGAATAATTTATTCAGATTGCTTTTAGATCTGTATTTATTTTCTAAGTCTTAGAAATCACGTTTTAATATCGCGTTTAAAGTAAGTATAAATATATGTAAAAAATTATCACGCTATCTTATAAAATATACGCAAGTTCTCCGCTAAAAGAGCTTTCTAAGCTTAGTAAAGTATAATAATTATTACTAACTTAACTTAAGCTTAATAAAGTATAATAATTATAACTTGGCTTACATTTTTGCAGTACATCTTACGAGATATCATTAAACTTTCACGACAATGAAGTATAAATTTTAATCCAAAAACATTTTGCCGCAGCCATTATCCAAGTTTCCAAGGGCGAGTTTAAAAACGTACGTTCTTGAAGCACTAATGGACCAAGTTGCGCAGTAAATTTGTTGGAAACAATCAGAAACATGTTCTCTAGGAAACATTTCAAAATTAAAATATAAACATATAATTTATTTGAAATAGAAATAAAATGTTTTAAGATAAAATTGTAGAATTTAAAATATATCTAATAATTCATATATTAACTTTGCTATAAAATGAAAATATCATGAGTATAAATAAGCTTTATATGGAAAGATCTTAAAAGTTTGTTAATGTCAAGTCAACATGTGATTTCAAGACGCGTTGTTTTCAACTTCTTGTATACATTATTCGGAGCTTTTATATTAATAGTTATTAGAAAAAAAATTATTTACCAATAAAAAATATAATATACGCAATGAAAATGAACAATCTGATGTAAAATATCACTCCTACGAGTATATGTGTACATTGAATATAGCATTTTAAAATGTATCCGAACAAAAATTTTCTCTTTTGTTTAGATATTACATACATTGTACACAGTATGTGAATATAATATTTTAATTAGAAACAAAATTAAAATATAGATAATATAATAACAGAGGTATTTAGTTTAAAAGATATTTTACAAGTGGTACATATCGGAATTACATGAAAAATATAACTTACAT